GAAAGACTAGGTGAGAAGGGCTGGGTGTACTCTGGCACACAAGAACATAAGAGAAGCCATGCTGGATCATCAGACCAATGGCCCATCCAGTCCAACACTCTGGCCCTCTTCACATTAAAAAGGTAAAGGTAAAGGTTCCCTTGCTCGAAAGCCAGTCGAATCCGACTCTAGGGTTGCCGTGCTCATCTCCGTTCCAAAGCCGAAGAGCCAGTGCTGTCTGAAGACGCTTCCATGGTCATGTGGCCGGCATGACTAAACACCAAGGCGCACGGAACGCTGTGACCTTCCCACCGAAGTGATCCCTATTTATCTACTTTCAATTTCTTGCTCTCGAACGGCTAGGTTGGCAGGAGCGGGAACTAGAGACGGGAGCTCACTCCGTCATGCGGCACACTAGGGTCTTGAACTGCTGAACTACCGACCTTCCACAGCCTGCAGTTCAGCGTCTTAACCACTTGAGCCACCGCAGCTTCACATTACCGTTCCGTTATTCATTGTTGGCCCGATTTTGCGTAAAACGGTACAGGGACAGGGGTTTCATACAGCAAAAATCTCTTTCCATGAATGAGCCGTCACTGAAGTGCTGTGGTCATTTCAAGCACTGCCAATTTCCCCCCCAATCGTTTTTGCCACACAATCTTCCTCAGACTTTTTTTTTTTTTATGTTCTAAGGTGAACGCTCTAGCACTAAACTGGAGTGCTATAGCGGCACCATTGAGATGCATTGACTCAGTGGAGTCTATGTATCTCGGGCGTGCTGCAGTAGCACTGATGTGCTGTAGTGCTCAACTCAGAACATTAAAAAAAGGCAGAGGAAGTTCGTGCGGCGAAAAACGGCAGGCGAAAAAAGTGGCATTGTAGGAAGCGCTGTGGACATTTTAAACAGCACACTACAGCGATTCAGAAGCGCAACAAAGGGGTATTAAATGGAAGAAAGCAGTTTCCCTAAAAAGCAGCTCAACCACACATTGCTAACCCAAGTGGGTTTGTATGAACAGGTCAATACATTCCGCTAGCAGTCAGTTACTAAAACGGGTCTGTCTGAAAGGACAGAAAAAATCCATTAGGAACCAGCTACTAAAACGGAATACAAAGGCAGTTTGAACAGGGTGTGTGCCACACAGTGGCCAAAACCCAAGTGCCATCAGGAGGTCCACCAGTAGGGCCAGGACTCCAGAAGCCCTCCCACTGTGGCCCCCCCCCCCAGCACCAAGAATACAGAGCATCACTGACCCAAACAGTGTTCCCTCTGTATGGTAAAGGTTTCCCTTGCTTTGAAAGCCAGTTGAATCTGACTCTGGGTGTGTGTGTGTGTGCTCATTTCTGTTTCCAAACCGAAGAGCCAGTGCTGTCCGAAGATGTCTCCATGGTCATGTGGCCGGCATGACTAGACACCGAGGCGCACGGAACGCAGTTACCTTCCCACCGAAGCAGTACTTATTTATCTACTTGCAGTTTCTTGCTTTCGAACTGCTAGGTTGGCAGGAGCTAGGGCCAGAGACGGGAGCTCACTCCGTCACGCCACATTAGGGTCTCGAACTGCCAAACTACTGGCCTTCCAGTCTGCAGTTCAGCATCTGGAGCCACCGCCTCTATGCCTTGTGGCTAATAGCAACTGATGGACCTCTGCTCCAGATGTTTATCCAGTCCCTCTGTGCAGTTCACAGTTGCCTGCAGATGAAGGGACCTTTGCTTCTATTGAACCCGTCTCCTACCCTGGAGGGCTTTGAACACCACTGAAGAAGCCTTGGCTCCTCCAGGAGAGCTCTTAACCCCCTTGCCTTCCCTCTCTGATTAGACTGTCACGTTAATTACCTGCAAAAATGTATTTACTTTAATATATATCCCGCCTTTCACCCCAGTGGGGACCCAAAGCGGCTTACAGCATTCTCTTCTCAGTTTTAGCCTCACAACAACCCTGTGAAGTAGGTCAGGCTGAGAGAGATGTGACTGGCCCAAGGTCACCCAGCAAGCTTCCATGGTACAAGAGGGGATTCCAGGGCCAGCCCCAGCTTATTTTGCACCCTAGGCGAGGATCCCTTCTGGCGCCCCCCCCCCCCCCGTGCGCCCACCATGTTTCAAAAATAAATGCATTTTAGGAAGAATGAAAAACACCAATAATCAAGAAATTCCCAGAGTACGGGGCTGGGTGCAGATTGGTGCCCCTAAGGGCCAGCCCGCTCTAGGCGATCGCTTAGTTCGCCTAGTGAGTGAGCCGGCCCTGGGGGATTCAAACCTGGATTTCTCAGATCCTAGTCCGACACTTTAATGAGTACACCACGCTGACGTTTTCTTCTTTCAGGGTCCGGTGACCTTCGAAGATGTGGCTGTGTACTTCTCAGAGGAGGAGTGGGCTTTGCTGGATCCAGACCAAAAGACGCTGCACAGAGATGTCATGGTGGAGAACTGGAAGAATTTGGCCTCTCTGGGTATGCCTCCCTCGTTGCCTTTGCCTGAAAAATACTGAATGCAGACATTTCTGCGGTTCTTGGGTAATATCGGTGCACTGCGGGGACATCCTTAAGGGCAGATACATTTGACCCATATTCCTTGGAAACTTAATTTAGTTGTCAAATTTGTCTGTAGCTATTTGTACTGGAGCCCCAAGGGCAACATACCCAAAACTGTAATGGTAAGAATGAGTCACTCACAAGCTCAGCTGGAAGTGCTAAAGAATAACTTCAGCTCTTCTTTGCTCTTCTTGCAATGCTCCACTCTTTGGGGTCAGCGGGATTGTGGGTGACTAGACACCAATTTGGACCAGGCAAGCTTCCTCAGCTAAGTGCAGCCTTCACCAACTGTACTCCAGCTCAGTAGCGCACCTCTGGGCCCATAACCCTGACGGCATGCGCAGAGCGTCTGAATAATAATGAATTCAGGATGCTGTATATGAGCTATATACAGTGGCTTTTATTTACAGTTATATACACAGTCCATGCCACCATGCGGTATCCCAGATTCACAGAACTGACCGACAAGGTGCTTCGCAGTACACTCTCCACAGGTGTGGAACACTTGCTTCAGGACTACATTCCTTATATACAGTACTTGCACCAATCAGAGTCATTTTGCCAACTCATGGTGACATAGTTAATTGAGCTGATGCAACCTAGTGCAACTTGCATCTGGTGACCCTGTCACATGACAGTCTTTCCTGTCACCTAGATCAGTTTAATCTGACATGTGTGCATCATTGGCTGTCATCTTGCATACATATAATACAATATATACACTCTTCACAGGGACATAGAGGTCTTAATGTGGAAGTCCTTCACGGAAGCTGCATTAGGTGCCTTTGCTTTTGGATGTAGGAATCTGCCCCCCCCCCGGATTGCCTTTGAGGTGCTCTCCTGCTTGGGGTTTCCTTTCCCTGCTCTGTGTCTGAGAAATAACCCTGTCTGGTTTTAGTCTGTGCTCGGGGTGATTTCAAAACACCTTGAGCAAGTATAAATCTCTTTCTGGTACAAATCTGGCTCTTCCCATTCACAACATTAGTCCTTCTTTCCCCCGCTTTTGGGGGAAGCATAGAATCCTTGAATATTTCTCGTCAGAAGTGCCAGAAATGACCATTGTGGGTTCATGTGTGGTTTTATTTTCTTCAAGTAAGGATTTCATATTCTCAAAGCTGACCTCACTTCTTGGCTGGTGGAAGGGGGAGGCCCATTGGCTCAGGCCTCTGAGGAAGGAGAGAAATGGGCAGGTAGCTACTCAACAGTGTGGTAGATTTCTTTTACCTGTATATCAAACATTAGGAAGAACGTCCTGACAGAGCAGTTCCTCAGTGGAACAGGCTTCTTCGGGAAGTGGTGGGCTCTCCTTTGGAGGTTTTTAAACAGAGGCTAGATGGCCATCTGACAGCAATGCAGATTCTGTGAACTTAGGCAGATCATGAGGGGGAGGGCAGGAAGGGCTGCATCAGTGCTTAGTTCTTTGGCCCTTTTTTACATGCCCAGGGAAATGCTGATTGACACTTTTGGGTCAGGAAGCAATCCTGGAGGTTTTTTGGTCATCTGTGCATGGAGCAGGGGTCACTGCGGGTGTGGAGGGGAAGGTATTTGTGAATTTCCTGCAATGTGCAGGGGGTTGGACTACATAACCCTGGAGGTCCCAACTCTATGATTCTATGATCAGGCAATGAGTTCTCCAGATTTGGTCTAGATAAGTGTCCTCCCCACCCATTGACTTATCAAAGAATTGGGGGAATAAATTGGGGACTTCTATCAGCCTTTAAAGTTGGTTCATAATGGCGGGGGGACTGTTCGTGAGCAACATGGGGTCAAAAGTTTGTGTGACACCAGCCCACGTGAAACAGACCATCATATGGATCAGTCTTGGAATCCTTCGAGCTTGAATTGTCTACAGCGACTTTCCAAACTCTGAAGCAAAGAAGAGTCTTTTTCAGCCTTACTACTGGAGATCCTTGAACAGGACATGAGTGTGACTCTGGCCTCGAAAAACTTGGATAGTTTTAGGAGGTCCATTTGGGCAGAAAATAGATCCTAGTGCATCTCTTTACGTGAAGAAACAGTAGCCATACTTTATGGAAGAGTTGACGTAGATGCTTTTTTGGGGGGGGGGAAATACTGTGTTTGGGTTTTAGTTGTGAAGGTGCAAGGTCAAAAACAGGTTTGTTCACTGATGGAAAATCCCGTTTCTCCCTCATTTCATTTTTCTGTTTATTCCAACAGAGAGGGAGAACAAGAGAGGAAGGAAACAGCAGCAAAGAAAAGCTGAATCCAACGAGCAATGGTGGGAGGAATCCAGTGTTTCAGAATGTTCTGATTTCCACGAAATTCTCCTTCAGAAAGAAAGTCACAGAGGAAATGAATGGAATAAATTTGATGTATGTGCAAAAATCTGTATCGGTATATCAAGTCTTGGTGCCCATCAGAGAATAAACAACACGGGGAAACTGCTGAAACTGACACAATGTCAGAAGAGTTGGGGTTTGAGGAACAGCCTTATTTTACACAAAGGATTGGACACAGATGAAAAGCCACACAAATGCTCAGAGTGTGGAAAGAGTTTCAGTCAGAGCTCAGGCCTCACTTCCCATCAAAGAATCCACACAGGGGAGAAACCATATAGATGCCTGGAATGTGGGGAAAGCTTCTGTTGGAGTTCTCACCTAAGTTACCATAAAAGAATCCACACAGGGGAGAAGCCATATAAATGCTCAGTGTGTGGAAAGAACTTTCAGAGCAGCTCACACCTTACTTCACATCAAAGGAGCCACACTCCAGAGAAAGGATATAAAAACAGTGACTTTGAAAGAAGCTTTAGTCAAAAGCTCATATCTCATCAAAGAATCCAAAGTGGAGAGAAGCCATATCAGTGCTATGAGTGTCGGAAGACTTTCCGGAGCAGTTCAGACCTTGCTACCCATCAGAGAATTCACAGTGGGGAGAAACCATATAAATGCTCGGAGTGTGGAAAGAGCTTCAGTCAAAGCTGCGGATTTATTTATCATCAAAGAATTCACACAGGGGAGAAACCATATACATGCCCAGAGTGTGGAAAGAGCTTCAGAGTCAGTGCTAGCCTTGTTTACCATCAAAGAATTCACAGTGGTGAGAAACCCTATAAATGTTACGAATGTGAAAAGAGTTTCCGGAGCAAGTCAGACCTTGCGTCCCATCAAAGGATTCACACAGGAGAGAAACCATATAAATGTTCAGAATGTGGGAAAACTTTCAGTCAGAAGCAGAACCTCACTACACATCAAAAAATCCACAGTGGTGAGAAACCCTATAAATGTTACGAATGTGAAAAGAGTTTCCGGAGCAAGTCAGACCTTGCGTCCCATCAAAGGATTCACACAGGAGAGAAACCATATAAATGTTCAGAATGTGGGAAAACTTTCAGTCAGAAGCAGAACCTCACTACACATCAAAAAATCCACAGTGGGGAGAAACCATATACATGTTCAGAGTGTGGGAAAAGCTTCAGTCACAGCTCTGGATTAACTTATCATCAAAGAATTCACACAGGGGAGAAACCATATAAATGCTTGGAGTGTGGAAGGAGCTTCCAGAGCAGCTCAAACCTTACTTCCCACCAAAGAACCCACACTGCAGAGAAACCATATAAATGCAGCGAGAGTGGAAAGTGCTTCAGTCAACAGAAGCACCTCACTTCCCGTCAAAGAACCCACAAAAAGGACAAACTTTAGCAAAGAAACTGGAGATAGATCAAGACGGGTAGCCATGTTACTCTGTCTGTAGCAGTAAAAATAGAGCAAGAGTCCAGTAGCACCTTAAAGGCTAACAAAATTTGTGTCAGGGTATGAGTTTTTTGTGAGTCACGGCTCACTTCTTCAGTGACAGCTAGAAAGATACATTCTGGCTGTGTCTGAAGAAGTCAGAAGTGACCAGGCTTCCAAGTACTTACCGTGATTCGGCGGGGGACAAAGACGTCTTCGCAGGATCATTCCTGCGGGGAAAACAGACGTGCCGCACCATGCCGTCACCAGGAAGTGACACCAGGCAACACTCTGGCACTGGGGCCAGAAACTCGATGGTACCATTGAGTTTTCAGCCCCATTGCCAGAGCGTCGCCCAGTGTCATTTCCTGGCGACGGCATGGTGCGTTACAAGGAGAAATGTTCTGGCCGGGGAGCATGTGTCCCCCGCCGGATTGCGATAAGTACTTGGCAACCCTAGCAGTGACTCACGAAAGCTCATACCCTGCCCCAAATTTTGTTAGTCTTTAGGGTGCTACCGGACTCCTGCTCTACCATTAAGGAAACTGGGCTAAGCTATAAATGCCACCTTGAAGGAAGGGATCTGTCCTGCAACATTTAGGGAAGCTGTAGTGCTTCCTCCCATGCCTCTGGTTTATAAACTTGTAAGCACTCTGTAACCATACCAGTTATATAGATACAACTTGGAGCTTCATAGTTTAAGAAAGAAAAGTGTATTGTTCTGTTAGGAAAAGAAGAACTCTGCCTGGGAACACCCGTCCCCCAGGTCTTAACCCAATGGAAAATAGGTGACGAAATTTGTCAAAGTTTGATGGAACCAATAATTCTGTTTTCTTTCTCTGATGTAATGTGAAATATAAAATGCTATGTCACCCATTGTAACACTCGAAGAGTCTGTTAGGTATTCAGGGGTCCCAGACCTTGATATCTATACTCTTCCTTTATTCATTAATAAATTATTTTTTTGGTCTTCTACTCTACAGGACTGCTTTGTGTGTTTTCTCAAATTGGCCAGGGCAAACACAACCAGGGACAGAAGTTCTGTCTAACAGCATCTACACTGTACCTGAATTAGGTTTAACTGTACCCTATGATGTTCACTTCAGCGCAAGACTTTTCCTTACATCTTGTCCCAGTATCACAGGATCATCCTTCTCAGAGCTGAGAGTCCATTCATAATTTCCACACATTCCTTTCCGTTCTGTATCTAGTTTAGCCACTGGGACTTCACTTTGCTTGCTTCTAACAGCTCACATTTTTATAGCTTTACAAGGTCTTGCCTAACACAGTGAAAGGTATTTCTTCTCTTTTAACAGACACCATTTCATTTACACTGGAGTCAAAATCTTGAGGGAAAGGAAAGCTTTCTGTGACCTCTCCTAAGAACTTTCCCTCAGTCTTACTCAGGGGTCATTTCGTAGAAAAAGAGGTGCAGGAGCTCATTAACATAACTCATAAGCATAACTTATTTGCATATGCCACACCCCCTGACATCACTGGAAGTGTGTCAGAAGGCAACATCCACTGCTCAGGCTCCACTGGACTGTTTTGGATTGCTAGCTATTGGGGGGGGGACGTGCAGATCTGTCCTCGCAGAGGAGGGAGAGCTTGTACCTGAATAAAACTTGGTCTTAAAGGTGCCACTGGACTGTTTTGGACCGGGGGCTGGGGGGGGGCTCTGCAACTTACCTGGCTGCTTCTTGCTCTGACTTAGGGCTGCTGGGAGCAGGAGGTGGGGCTTGTTGCATGTGCCCGCCCCCTGGGCTCTTTACTGCCAGAGCTCCGCACCTGTGCACTCCTGCAGGAAATGACCCCTGGACTTACTTGTCTTGACATGAACACATGAACGGAATTACCCCCAGGACGTTGCATATTTGAGTCTGAATATGCCCTTTCTCCACACATCTATAGCATGTTCTGTCAAACAGAATGGAATGGAGGAGTCTTCTGGTGTGTCATCTCCTTTATTCATGGCCATATCTCCCTCTGAGTGACAGTTCTCTGCTCCTCCTACCCTCTCCTCTAGTTTACGGGGTCCCCAAAGTTTTTGATCCTGTGGGCATCTTTGGAAATCTGATACAGGATGGTGGGCATAGCCACAAGATGGCTGCCACAGAAGGTGGAGCTGACCACGAAATGTCAGGGAGTGAATTCATGCATACCTCTAGCAGTCAGTCAGTCTTCATTAGGGCCCACAATAAAAAAACACAACCCTGTTATTGAATTAATTACCTGCATTAAATCTCTACATACTGCATTCCACCTAGTATAACAGTTTAACTGAGCAAATTATACACAGGATATTGCCAATTTGTGCTCTTTTGGGGTAAAAGCAGAGTCTGGCGGACCCTGATTTTAGACAAAATGTACTGAAGGTATTTACCATTTTAAGAGAATAGGACCAAACGAATACTTTTGGGATCAGCCAGCAGTAAGGTTGCCAAGTCTACTTACCTTGGTGGCGGGGGAGCCTCGCTGGGCTCCGGGAGCTCTCCGGCGATGCGTGCGCGCAGCCAACACGTCACAGGAAGTGATGCGCTATGTCGCTCACGTTGAGGGCGTGGCCACAATCGTCAGAGGTAAAACCATAGTTTTCCCTCCGATGTTCGGGGCCACGCCAACGTGAGCGACGTGGTTGCGTCATTTCTGGTGACGCAGCCATGCTGCGCTTCGGGGGGTGGAGTCCCCTCGGGGCCCGATTCCGCAGTGGCGGAAATCAGGTCTCCAAAGTGGGGTTTACCCGCCCCCACTTGGCAGCCCTAGCCAGCAGAGCATACAAGGACAGAGTGCCTATAAAATAATATTACCATGTGCAGTGAGTTACAGGATTGGCAAGGGGAGCAAGCAGGTGTGTGAGCTCTGGGTGTATTTATAAATCAGCTGGAACTGGGGTGGGGTGGGGGGAAGCCTGAGACAGGAAAGTTTGTGAGTGAATCTCAATTGTTCAGGATGGTGAAAAATACCACGAGGATTCTGAGGAGCTCTGAAACTGGTTGAATAGGCAACCAAAGAGCAGATGCAATTCACTGTCCATGCAAACTGATGTGTGTTAACGCAAGACATCCACATAAGAATATAAGACGTGCCCTGCTGGATCAGACCAGTGGTCCATCTAGTCCAACATCTGGAAGTATAAGGCAAACGTCTGTGACAGTCAGATGGTATTCCAAAGGAATGACGTTCCGCTACCTGGGCTGCAAAAGAAGAAGGCAGTGAGAGGCACTTTTTCCCTACGGTCCCGTATTCTGTGGCCACTGCATATCCAGCATTAACACATCCTATCTCGCACAGTGGTCTTCCTCAGGATGGCCAACAACAGGCCATAGAGGCCAAGTCCTTCTTAAGAACATAAGAGCCTTGCTGGATCAGACGAATAGTCCATTTAGTTCAGCATCCTGTCTCACAGCAGCCAACTAGTTCCTCTGGATGGCCAACAACAGGCCATAGAGGCCGAGACCTTCCCCTGAGGTTGCCTCCTGGCTCTGGGATTCAGAGGATTAGTGCCTCTGAGTGAGGAAGTTCCCCTCAGTCACCATGGCTAGTAGCCAGGGGTCGTTTCGTAGAAAAAGAGCTAGGGGAACTCATTAGCATAACTCATTAGCATATGCCACACCCCCTGACATCACCGGAAGTGTGTCATAAGGCCACACCCCCTGACATCACCAGAAGTGTGTCATAAGGCCACACACCCCGCCCCCAATGGTCTCGGCCGCTGCCGCTGGCAGGCAGGGGTGAAGAGAGCCAGGGAGGAAGCAACTTACCCTCCCTCTTCTCCTGCCTCCTCCTGGCTGAATGAGGGCCGGAAGCGGGGCAGCCGGAAGCAGGGGGCGGGGCTTCCCCGTACCTCACCCGGGGGAACCGCGATCCCCTGCGATCCCCCCCGAAATAACCTCTGCTAGTAGCCATTGATAGACTTGTCCTCCACAAATCCCCCTTTAAAGCTGTTTATTCCTGTGGTCATCACTACAGGAAAAAACAGCTTTAATCCACATTTCACATATTACGTTGATGGAGTCAGAGATGGGAATGACAGGCCGACAGAAAGCCTTTGAGTGGAGGTGAATGCCTTCTCTAAGCCATCATAGTTTGCATGCCAAAAATCCACACAGTTTGCCTTTTGGTAGAGGCAAGCAAAGTTTTACTTTTATTTATTTAGGTAGGAGCTGGGGCTGCTCACTTTACTCACCAACACCAGAGCTCACTGTGTTTGCGATATTTAACCACAGTTTGAGTAATGAACCGGCCATTCTGCCTCCTGCCAAACAAATTGTAGCAATCCCAGATGAAGCAACATTCTGCCTCCTGCCAAACAAATTGTAGCAATCCCAGATGAAGCAACAGCAAAAGAGATTGTGCCTTCTGGTGAAAGGTAGGCAAAATTAGATTCATAACAAATGTCATAAACTGGCTTCCAGCTAGGGATGCCAGCCTCCAGTTGGGACCTGGGGATCTCCTGGAATTACAGCTCATCTCCAGACTACAGAGATGGGTTCACCTGGAGAAAATGAATGCTTTGGAGTGGGGTGTCAAACATAAGGCCCAGGGGCCGGAACTGGCCCATCCAAGGCTCTTATGCGGCCTGCGAGCAACTAGTGCAAGGGAGGGAGCAGGAGACTGTCTGCGGGGAGAATGGGCACAGCCCATTCCCTGATTGTGGCTTCAGCACTGAGGAACAACCTCGTCTGCGGCAGTCAAACAGCATGGGAGCGTCTGCCCAGTGCTGCACCACTGGCTCTCCGGTCCACCCATATGGGTTTTCCTTTGCACACACACCCCCACCCCCACCCATGGGGCCTTGCAGTGAAGGTACACCAACTCGGAGCTTGCAAGCTAGTGTCCTTTATACAGTTTATAACTCCAGTACCCAGTATTACAATTTATGGCACACATGGCTCCGCCCGACGAAGGGACGCTTATGTCTGATCCGGCCCTCAAAAAACAAATGAGTTTAATACCTCTGCTTTGGAGGGTGGGCCCTGTGGCATTGTACCCACTGAGCTCCCTGTCCTCCCTAGACTCCATTCCCAAATCTCCAGGAGTTTCCCAACCTGGATCTGGCAACCCTTCTCCTCCATCCTCTGCAGGTGACCAGGAGGGACCCGGCAACCCTTCCCCTCCCTCCCAACAGGGACTCAAAGGGGCTTACATTCTGGTCCAGGTTTTCTCCAGAACCCTACCTCCATGCTCTTTTGCATTAAAAGTATGGTTCTGTTTGTGGCAGGCATTACTCATCAGCAACTAAAGCTAGGCACTTGAAAACTGGCCGTCAACTTCAAGACGATCACAGGAGTTCAAGTGCTAAAAATGAAAGGGGCTGGAACATCCAGAACACCCCTTTTTTGGGTGTAGTGCCAGTTTGGTGTAGTGGTTATGTGTATGGATTCTACTCTGGGAGAACCGGGTTTGATTCCCCACTCCTCCACTTGCAGCTGCTGGATGACCTTGGGCAAGCCATAGTTGTCAGAGCTGTTCTCTTGAGGACAGTTCTGGAGACAGTTCTCTCAGCCCCACCTACCTCACAGGGTGTCTGCTGTGGGGGAGGGGAAGGGAAAAGAGTTTGTAAGCCGCTCTGAGACTCCTAGTGAAGGGCAGGGTATAAATCCAATCTCTTCTATTTGCAATGGAAGTTAGTTCTCCATTTGTGGCCGGTATAACTCACCAAAAAATAAAGCTAGCAGTCTCAAAAACTGGCCTCCCAACTTCTGGATGAACATGTGGGAGCCAGGTTTGATTCCCCTCTCTCACACAGATGTTCACTGAAAAAAAGTTTGAGTCCAGTGACATCTTTAAGACCAACAAAGTTTTATTCATGGTATAAACTTTCATGTGCGTGCACACAGAGTGACCTTGGCCCAGTCACTCCCTCCCCGCCCAATCTACTTCACAGGGTTGTTGTGCGGATAAAACGGTGGGGGAATGTTGTGAACAGGGTATAAATGAGGTAAATATTTATTAATGAAGGAATCTGCAAGCACTTGTAGGCAGCTCATTTGTAGACAGCCAGTTTGGTGTAGTGGTTAAGTGTGCAGACTCTATTCTGGGAGAACCGGGTTTCATTCCCCAGTCCTCCACTTGCAGCTGCTGGATGACCTTGGGCAAGCCATAGAGCTATTATTGAAAAGAACAGTTTCTGTCAGAGCTCTCTCAGCCTCACCTTCCTCACAGGGTGTCTGGTGGGGAGGGGAAGGGAAAGGAATTTGTAAGCTGCTCTGAGACGCCGAGTGAAGGGAGGGGTATAAATCCAATCTCTTCTTCTCCTCATTTCTCCCTTCCCCCACTATTTCATCTTTCCTTTCCCTGAAAGCCCCACAAGTCTCTCCCCTTTTCATTTCATTTCATTTATTTTATTAGACTTATAGCCCGATCTCCCCTGCGACCAGGCTCAGAGTGGGTGACAACATCAGTAAAAACATTCAGCAATCTAAAAGTAATGTAGAATTACAATAAATACAGTAAAATTCATAATAACTGCAAAATAACAATGCAATTAAAAGAAGGCATAAAATATCAGGGGAGGGGATAATATATATACTATCTACTCAGAAGGGGAGGGGAAGAGGCGAATGGAGAAAAAGGAGGCCAATCCAGCGTGAAAGCTGTCACTATGCTCAAACATAAGCCCGCCGGAACAACTCTTTTTTTACAGGCCCTGAAAAACGATCAGATCCTGCAAGGCCCGGATCTCAGCTGGGAGAGCGTTCCACCAGGTAGCAGCGAAGGCCAAAAAGGCCTGGCTCTGGCTGAGGACAGCTGGACGCTAAAAAAAAGCCAGGTATTACCAGATTTTGAACACTAGAGCATAATGTACTTTGGGAGGTGTCATGACCCCAGCGGGTCGCCACCTTCTGCCACCACCACCACTCTGGACTTCGGGTCCCTTGAGAAGGCCCAGAGTACCCTCCCAAACCCCTTTTCAAGCCGAGAACCATAGGCGTGATGACCAGGCAGAGAACATTAAACAAATGGTTTATTTATACAGTAATGGGGCACTGAAAACAAGACAAGGTGCTTAAAAAGATATGTGTCTAAAGGCAAAATAAACACAAACCTAATGCGACTACCTGTTCCACTTAACTAGTTACTATTCAAGGCCCACAGACTCATATACCAGGCCACACTACCTGTACTCACTCTGTCCCAATTTATTTATTTATAAATTCAATTTATAGCCTGGCCTCCCCGCAACGCGGGCTCAGGGCGGCTCACAGTCAGATTTGGCCAGGCTGAAAATTAAATTTATCGACAAAAGAATATAATCTATGTGTATTCTTTTAGATGAATTAAGGTGGGTGCTCTGACTGAAGCTCTATTCACACTTCAGGCAATTCTATTTTTTATTCTTTTCGATGGATTCTTTTAGATGAATTATGGTGGGTGCTCTGACTGAAGCTCTATTCACACTTCAAGGCATTTATGATTTTTTCCTCCTTTGTGTAAATTCTTTGATAGGAAGTAAGGACATTCTTCACCTCAAAGGTTTTTCCACTCTTCTGGCATTTCTATGATTTCTCTTTTGTGTGAATTCTTTTATGGATAGTAAGGCTTCCACTGTAACTATAGCTTTTTCCACACTCCAGGCATTTGTATGGTGTCTCCCATGTGTGAACTCTTTGATGAGTATTAAGATGTGCACTCTGCCTGAAGCCTTTCCCACACTCCAGGCATTTATATTTTTTCTCCCCCGTGTGAATTCTTTGATGGCGAACGAGGCCTGCGTTGCAAATGAAGCTTTTGCCACACTCCTGGCATTTATACGGTTTCTCTCCTGTGTGAGTTCTTTCGTGATAAGTAAAGCTTTCAATGCGAGTGAAACTTTTCCCACATGTTAGGCATTTATATGGTTTCTCCCCTGTGTGAATTCTTTGGTGGGCAGTAAGGCTTGCCCTGTGACTGAATCTTTTCCCACAGTTCAGGCACTGATGCAGCTTCTCACCTGTGTGAATGCTTTGATGGGAAGTCAGGCTTGCAGCCTGACGGAAACTTTTCCCACATTCTGGGCATTGATGCAGCTTCTCACCTGTGTGAATGCTTTGATGGGAAGTCAAGCTTCCAGCCTGACGGAAGCTTTTCCCGCACTCCAGGCATTTATATGGTTTCTCCCCTGTGTGAATCCTCTGATGGGAAGTGAGGTGCGAACTCCGACTGAAGTTCTTCCCACACTCCAGGCACGAATATGTTTTCTTCCCTACTTTCTTCCCTGTTTTAATTACTGGATGTGAAGTTAGGTCACTTTTCTGCCCAAAGGTGTTTCCATACTTTGGGCATTTAAAGGTTTTCTTCCTGTTAGGTGCGCTGCAACGCACAGTCACGTCTGACTTCTCGGTAACAATTCCGTTGCTTACAGTGCACTCCTTCGTATTGCCTCCTATGTGTATTTTCTGAAGCAGTGGAATTTCATGAGCATCACCACTCTGCAAAAGACAGGAATTATTCCTCCCTTTCTGTGGATGTTTTCCCTTCTCCTTCCTCAGCTCATCAGTGTTCTCTTTCGCATCTGGATATAGATCTCCTTTGTCCAGTACGAGTTGCTCTTTTGTTTCATTCACTGACTCCCACATGCCTCCGGCTGAAAAAAAGAGAAACAGGGCATGAACGCTGTGAAGAAGAAGAGGAGATTGGATTTATACTCTGCCCTTCATTCGGAGTCTCAGAGAGGCTTACAAACTCCTTTCCCTTCCCCTCCCCACAACAGACACCCTGTGAGGTAGGTGGGGCTGAGAGAGCTCTTTCAAGGGCTGCTCTTGAGAGAACAGCTCCAAGATAACTCGTGACTGACCCAAGGTCACACCAGCAACTGCATGTGGAGGAGTGGGGAAATCAAACCTGGTTTTCCCAGATTAGAGTCCGCACTCTTAACCACTACACCAAACTGGCTCTCCAAGCTGGAAAAACCTCAACTGTGACACACTAGATTGCATTAACCGATCTGTAGTGGCGATTAAACAGGAAACAGCATTTTGCTGGAGTAGTTATTGGCACAGAGATCCTTCTCTGATCTGAAGGGGAAGTCAGAAGGGAATCCCCAAAGTGTAGCCACAGGCATTGATGCAAATCAGTTTGCTTGATTATTTGCTCTTCTCAGGTAAGTGGGGGACGATGGAATTGCTGCATTGTTGAAGGAGAAGGAGAAGAAGAAGAAAAACCTGCCCTTCACTCAAGAGTCTCAGAGCAGCTTACAAACTCCTTTCCCTTCCCCTCCCCACAACAGACACCCTTTGAGGTAGGTGAGGGCGAGAGAACTCTTTTGAGAACTGCTCTTTCAAGGACAGCTCTGACAAAACTATGACTTGCCCAAGGTCATCCAGCAGCTGCAAGTGGAGGAGTGGGGAATCAAACCCGGTTCTCCCAGATTAGAATTCGCGCACTTAACCATCACACTGAACTAACTATCTAAAGAGGTAGATCAAGATGGGTAGCCATGTTAGTCTGTCTGTAGCGGTAGAAAATAACAAGAGTCCAAGGGCACCTTAAAGACTAACAAAATTTGTGGCAGTGAGTCACTGCTCACTTTTATCTGAACCCAGAACCCCCCTCATATCAGGGGAAGGACGGTGGAGGGTGGCAGAGACCAGCCACTGGGCACAGGGAAGACAGCCTGTCCACATCTTTCTGATTAAAGACCTCCTTCCAGACACTCCTCACAACAAGACGGAGACAGCCCCAGAGAAGAGGACCCTCACCCAGAGAGGCCACGATTCCAAAATTCTCCAGCATGACTTCCTTGCACAGGGCTCTTTGGGCCGGGCCCAGCAGGGTCCACTCCTCCTTGGTAAAATGCACGGCCACCTCTTCAAAGGAGACCAGACCCTGGCAGAAGAAGAAGAAGAAAGCAAGCATTTCTTTGCATCAGGAGAAAGGTGATCTGTTAGAAAATCCGAATGTGGATTTAAAAATAAATTCTTTTTTTTTAAAAAAAACAAAAACAATTTTTATTAAGATATATCAATAAATCATTCTGTACGTCGACTTACAAACTGTCATATATCCCTTTCTCCTAATACCCCACCCCTTCTGACTTCCCACAGTGCTCCAACCACCAGCTCAAATCTTATATTTCCCCTCTTTTCCCCCTTACTCATTGATCAAATTCTACAGGTAACATATCTTTTAACTATTGTTCTTATATGTTTAAAGGTAAAGGTTCCCTTGCTCGAAAGCCAGTCGAGTCCAACTCTAGGGTTGCGGTGCTCATCTCCGTTTCAAAGCCGAAGAGCCAGCGCTGTCCGAAGACGTTTCCGTGGTCATGTGGCCGACATGACTAAACACCAAGGTGCACGGAACGCTGTTACCTTCCCACCGAAGTGGTACCTATTTATCTACTTGCAATTTCTTGCTTTCGAACTGCTAGGTTGGCAGGAGCTGGAACTAGAGACGGGAGCTCACTCCGTCATGCGGCACACCCGGGTCCAGAACTGCTGAACTACTGACCTTCCACAGCCTGCAGTTCAGCATCTTAACCACTTGAGCCGCCGCAGCTCCTCTTATATGTTTAAACTTATTCTAAATAACCTCCTTTCTTCAATAATTATCAAAGCAAAATAAGTTGTGTCTTACATCCCATGATTTAAAAATAAATTCTTGAATGCCAGCAGCCTGGAAGGGACCAGAGCCCTGTGGTGATACTAACCTTTCCCTTCCCAATTGTCCCTGGCAGCATCTTGGAATTGGCATGGCTGTCGTTGGTAGCTAGCGGAAGTGTGCCAGCTGTTCTGGCTTAAGCAACTGGACTGAGGGGTGGCTGAAGGAAACTTCCGTATTCAGAGACACTAAGCCTCTGAATCCAGAGCCAGGAGGCAACATCAGGGGAAGGCCTTGGCCTTTCTGCCCTGTCGTTGGCCCTTCAGGGGAACTGGAAAAGATACTGGACTAGATGGACCAGTATTGCTGCAACTCTTGTCAGGAGGCAGAGCTAGGGAAGTCAGCTCTGGGTGCATTCAGACGCACCATTTGAATCATTTTTGGCACGCTTCAGTCACGGATTTTATATGCATGTTCATTTGGGAATGAGGTCGTTCTGCGAGGCATGCCCGGAATGTCAACGTTCTCACAGGAAGACTGGACATTAGTGCACAAAGCCTGCTGAGTCTGCTGAAGTCTGCTGAGAGTATAAACTTGGCTACAGTCGGGCAAGATAAGATGAGCTGTGGGTAGAGAACATTCTGTTAAGAATATACTGTGATCCTAGTTAGAGGCTTTTACTTGTAATGTTTTCACCGTACAGGGCAGGGGGAAGAAATGTGTGAGTCTGCTCTAATAAAACGCTGCTGACAGAGAGAGAGACAGAGAGAGAGAGAACTGAGAACTTGGTCAGAGAGCTTCAACAGATCTGTGTGTTGTGTCGTTATTAAACCCTCAAGTCTACATGTTCACACACCAACATCTGCGCACCATCCCCAGCCGTCGCTTTCCGGCTCAAAACTCCCTTTAAACCAGAGTATTTTGATACCACTTCCCCGTCTGGTGTTTTCCTGCGTTTAGACGAGTTCGGGATCTCACGGAGGCCAGTTTCGGGTCAAAAGTTTAAAGGGAAGTGTTCTGTTACAGCAGTTGGAGACACCTCAGGGCATGCTTTTGGCAGGAAACTAGTTGTTCTGTGCATGCGCGAAGGTTTCAATTCTACGGATGACTGCCTATGTGCGTGCGCAAACTGAGAAAAAATATTTTAAAAAACCACCGACACACTCCCGCGTGCCGGTAGTGTAGACGCCGGGGAGCGATGTGACTGCGTGGTAAACTGGGATAAGGAGGTGGGTGTGATCGTGTTTATCCAGATTTTAAAAAAGCGCATCAGAACCGGACCAGTTTAAACCACTCTCAGTACCCTCTGAGTTGTGAAACTCCTGGAGGTTTAAGGATGGAGCCTAGGTAGCATGGGAGTAAGGAGAGGACTCCTCCTGTCTAAAACCAAAAAAGGAAGCATTGTGCTCAGTCTCTGAGAGGAAAGGTATTCTGGAGACCAGGCCCCATGAGGAAAAGGTGAAAGACTTGGGAACGCTGCCAGAAGGAATCGCTGCCAGAAGAAGATCTCGCCGAGACACCATCGCCCTGAAAAGAACCCACCATGAAGAAAGAGCCAGAAAAAAGAGTAACATCAAGCGAACACACCCTGCTCGGGTGCCTGGTAGGCACTCACTTCTCCCCTGTACTATGTGGCACTTGCTAGGATGTTAAATGTTTCTCTGTAAACCGCTCCGAGCCTTCGGGAAGGAGCGGTATATAAATTGAATGTAATAATAATAATAATAATAATAATAATAATAATAATAATAATAATAATAATAACAACAACAACAACCAAAACAACAACAACAACAACGTTCAGTCTGGAGAAAGGAGGCTGAGGTAGGGCTGAGTCATTATCTCGTAGGAGTTCCCCAGGCTATGAACATGCTAATGGAGGAGCTTTCCTGAGGAGGTTCTTTTGTATGTGGATTGGCTGTTGAGAGTCTAATATTATCTGTAGTGCTACTGTCAGGTGTAGAGACTTATGTGTTTTTCAGGACAGGAAACCATGCCCTATTTATTTTCAAACTCTCTTCCTTCCTGTTGAAATTGTGTTTATGTTTATTAATTTCAATGGCTTCCCTGTGTAATCTGACATAGTAATTTGGAAGTGCTGTCCAGGCTTTCAGTGGAACAAAATACAGTGTCCTGTATTTGGAACAAAATACAGTGTCCTGTTTGAGTTATGTTAATTGTTTGTTATTTTATTTTTCACCATATCCATGCCCACCTACTGCAATATGCGATGGCAGTCTGAACACTGAATGAGCAGTTCGGCCTGGAGGTCTCCTGGAATTACAACTGATCTCCAGATGGAGAAAATGGCTATTACAGAAGATGACACTGTACCTTGATGTGCTCCCTCTCCTCTCCTCACCCCACACACCCTAGGCCCCACCCTTAAATCTCCAGGAGTTTCACGACTCAAGAGTTCACTGCCCCAGCTCTGCCTCCTGACAACAGAGTTGCAGCAATACTTGATGAAAGGACAGCCACAGACATCATCCTTTCTCGGCAAGCTATAGGCAAACTTAGGCCCCGGTCACACAAAAGGTTTTGGGCCGGGAGAGGGACGGATCGGGGGCACAGCAAACGGGCGCAATCCCACCACAACATCTGGGAAACGTTGCGCA